GCCGTAGAGGACCTGAAGATGTAGCATTCGCTAGAAGGAACACAATCAATTTTTTTAAGACGTTAATATCCAAATGCAAGTGAAATTAATAATGCATTTCTAATGGAAGTTAAGAATTGCCAAAAGGATATATTTTGACACACATGGGTTTGGCAGATGACAGCACCGTGAATGAAAGTAGAAAAATGAGGTATGTGATCTTTAAAAATGGAGTAAAATTTAATTTAATTATAACTTTTCTAATAAAAATTGTGTTTTACAAAGTTTTATCTGCTGAGGAAAAAAAAAATTGCTCTTGGATTTATGCAACAATACTCTTTACTCTTTTTGCACGGATTAACAAGTTCAGCCTCATGAAATATATTATTATTGGCTTATTATTTTCTCTAGCGAGTGTGGTTCTGGCAGCATTGTTAGTTTATGTTATTCCATTATTTAGTTATATTTGACTCATGATTAACTATGTTTTTTGTTCTTAGTTCAGAAGTATGGATGCCCCCGTCTTATAGAAATATCACCTGCTATAATGTGTTATTGCCTTATTGGTGGTGATGTCTATAATGTATCATTGGTGGTTATGTGTTAACTGGCCCTCCTATGTCAGCCCTTCTATTTTGTGCAATTTTGCAAGTAATTTCATTTACCTTTTTTACTTTGTAATTTGTGAAAAATCATCTCTAGCGTCTTCTTCTATAGCCGTCAATCATGATTTTGATGGCTTTTCCAGGTGTGGGTAAGAGTTACCATTTTTTACGGTTTTTTTTTATTGTTCTATCACCACCAGTATCATTACCTGCCTCATGTATATACTTCTTTATTATCATGCAAGATTGATTTCAGGATAAGAATTGTTGAGCTTGATGGAAATAGGATCAAGCTTCAAATATGGGAGATACTACAGGCCAAGAATGAATCAGAACTATCCTAAATGGTATGATTTACAAAGATGATGGAAATGTGTTTCTTCCTTTTCTTTATAGAGATCTAAGATATTTAATCTGCAACAAGTTTCTTCCATGAACGAGTAATGTTGTATATCTGTAGAATTTATTGGTTTCCAGTTATGGTATGTAAGAAGTGTCAAAAGTGGTATTTTTACTCTTCTCGATCAATTTATCGTTGCCTAGGACGCATAGGTGATGTCTATGATGGAAAGTGAATTGAATATTATTGAAGGGACAATTGGA